CGCGGCGCTCGACACGCGCTCGCCGCTTCCAAGTTTCCCGGAGAGCTTTGGAAGTGGGAAGCGAGCAGCCTCCCCCGGGCAAGCCGCCGCCGCTCGCCTTGGCGCAGGCCACGCTGGCAAATGTGGTTTTTTTTTTTTTTTGGGGCACAATCCTCCAGGAATGGAGGATTTTAAGCACAGCAGTGGTGCTGTTCGAGGGCTTGTCCATGAAACGATGCCTGTGCCGGGTTTTATCCCCCTGCCCTAGGATGGATCCGGGTGCCCACAGAGATGGCAGAGCATCCCTGAGCAGCATCCTCAGGCTGGTGTTAAAGAGATGACACAACTCCCTCTTTACACAACATTCACTTATCTCAACAGTCTCCGGGGGGAAAAACAAAACAAAACTCCAGCGCACCCGCTCATCTCTTGACAGACTCTGATCCTCGCGCTACAAACTCCACGTAGGCGACGATGCAGAGAGGATAAACCTCCAACCAAAATATGGTAATCTGGTTTTGAAGTCTCGTAGAAGTAACAAACAGGAGTGAGTCAACAACAAGCCACTCCATAAAGCGAATCAATGGAACGACAGCATATATTAACCCAGATCTGCTTAATTTCGAGAGTTTACTCCCCTTTCCCGAAATAAAGAGCTCGAGCAGGCAGCAGGAGGGGCAGGCAGAGGGGAACCTCACAGGGGAAAGCCTTATTCCCCTGCTAAAGGGATCTCTGCCGTTTCTTTTTATTTATTTATTTTTAATGCAAGTCTCCTTTCCCTTTCCTGCTGTTAGGGTCGTAACTATTTCCCAGGCAGGCAGCGTAATGCACTCAAAGGCTGCTCGGCGCGGAGCTAAGTGCCATCCCCTCTGACAGAAGGGCAGGAGGGAGCCTGCAATACCCTTAATGAGCTCTGAAGACCTCACTCATATTAAAAGGAGGGATTTCCAGATGCAAGACTAATGTAAAACGCATTAACACTAATGGGGGGACGGGGCGTGGGGGGGGAACTCCCAGCCCCTGGAGGTTGTTCTGATGGTGCACAGTGTCTGTATGCTGCTCTCTGGTGCTGGGGCTTACCTGCGGACCAGGACCCATGGGGCCCATCCCTCGCGGAGGATTCATCCTTTGCATGGGGCCGCCCATGTTAGGGTGCCCTGTTGGGAGGAAAGCAGGGTTGTTACATGGCACCACAGCCAGTCTGGGTCCCAAACTTACAGTTAACAAGAAACATTAATGTTCGAACCCTCCTCTGCTGGACTTACCTTGCTGTCGCGTGGGATCCATGGAATTGGGCAGCAATGGCTGTGTACCGGGAACGGCGCCCGGGGGCTGTGGAAACAAGGGAAGAAGATTAAAAAAATAAATCCTGCATCCCGCTGCATCCCACTGCTACAGCCTCCAGGTGTTTGCCTCCCTCATCCTTTCGCAAACACTCTCTAAAACCTAAACAAAGCACCAGTGTATCCTCCTCCCCCAGCCCGTGTGATGTCAGGCTGCTGTATTTTAGGGCAGTGGGGGAAAGCCTGGCCTGAGCAGGGCAGAGCTGTCCGACCCAGCAGGGAATGGTGACGAGCAGCATGGCACTCTGGTACTACACAGCACAAGGGCCAAACTGTAGAGGTTGCAGCAATCCACTGACTGTAGTGTGGAGATGTTCCATGCACAACAGAGCAGCGTTCGGACCCCTCCCCATGCAGACAGAGGGGAAGGAGGATGCTCCCCCTCCCCAAACCCACACTCTGCTTGGGCAATGCTGCTATTTAAAGTTCAAAGGCTGCTCTGAACAGATAAAGGGGAAGAAAAATGCAGATATCATCTGCCTGGGGGAAGCAAACTGTAAACAGTTTTGCTACAGCGCTGCCTTTTATTTGGATGCCGACACCAAGGATCCCAGTGCTGGGGCACAGTGCAAGCACTGGGCACACACGGCTGCCCAATCCCATTTTTTGCAGCCTGGATGCTGGCAGCAGGAGGAAGATAAACCAGGGGGCTTGTAGAGGTGGATATTTACACTTCTGCTGCCTGACCTTCCTGCCTGCCTGTTTATTCCTCTTGTCCCTCTGGATGTGACCATAACCTTGCTGAGCTCTGTGTAGGTACAAACAAGTGTTTTATACATGGTGTTTGGGGGAAAAAATTAAATCCTTCTAATTAACTTCACTCAATCCTGGATGCTTGACCCTGCTGTGGGAGCAGCCTTCCCAAACCAGTCCGCTGCCTCTCCTGCCTGCCTAGCTCACTGTGCTCACCTCCAGCAGAGCTCAGGACGAGTCTGGGAGCACAGCAGGATGGGGGACCCTGTTAAAACTGACCCATGAGGAGGTGCAGTCAATTAATACCTTGCTAAAACAGCCACCAGTACCCTGGGAGGGAGGCTCAGCCCCCACTGGGTTTTCTCTCAGCCACATCTCAGCTGTTTCACCATCATTTAGCAAGCTGCAGAGATTCAAGTCTCAAATCCAGCAAGCACAAACACGGAGCAAGCTGCTACATCCTATTTCCTGACTACCCTGCTCTTTCTGCTAATAAGAGCTATATAAAAATAACGTTGATAGCCAAAAAACAAGCTCCCAAGGTAATTTTTTCACAGTCACCTTTGCTGCTCAAAGGAATTACAGGTTTTCTTTTATTTCCCTTTAGAAACAAAAAACCTCTGGCTTGGTCATTACCCTATGGATCTGCGTGGCATCGTTGGGAAGGAGATGAATTCCTCAACCAAAGGCCACGCACGTGTCCAGGCAGCGCGTGGGGTGGAGGCCTCCATCCGTAAGGCCAGAAACAAACTGCCCTTGTTTAAGCTGGGATAAGAGGATAAACCCAACCCAAAAAATTCAGCAGTGACCTGCCCCGCTTGACCCCGCTGCTGATCTAAGCGCTCGGTCAACCCAGCAGCAGGATTATCTTCATCACTTTAATTTTCTGCGATTGCAGGGAAAATCCAGCCGGGCAGCGAGCACACAGCATGGCACAGCCTTGCTGGAAATGCCAGGGATGGAAAAGAAAGCAGCACATTCCCCACTGCTGTTTCCACCCTGAATATGCCCAGATCTCAAAGTAAAATTGAAATATGACAGTTAAGTGATGCTTGATGCTCCCACACCAGGACTACAGAGGATGACAGAAGGAGGTGATGCTTGCCACAAAAACCCAAGAAGCATCTGCAGGTTACCTCGCCCTTGTTCCCCTCCAAAACAGCCATCCCTAAGAAACCTGGAATCTCAGTGCCATACCTGGTTGCCCATCCTGATGGGGGGCCGGGGACCTCCGGCGTAGCGCGGCGACATGAACGGCTGGGGGGACACAAAAGAGGGGTCAGGGCTGAGCGGTGGGGAGGCAGCACGCTCCCCACGCACGCTGGTTAGCCTGTACACACTGCTTTTGGATTTTTTTTTTTCTGGAGACATCCTTTTCAAAAAAGTGATGTTTCAAAAGGAAAAAAATAAAAAGAAAGGTGTCTGGAGCCGGTTTTTTTAAACACTGTCTCTGTAGATTTATTGTTTTGAGAGCGTTTGACATTGGCAATACTAGGTGAGGCTGTTAAAATTAGTGCATGGGAAACCCTGCGTGTTAGACACTGTTCAAGTTTAAATATATAGAGATATATTAAAAAAAGTGGCAAATAAGCACATACAGACACGCACACACAAAAAACCCCAGTGCTAAGTACTGAAAAAAAAAACCAAGAAGAAAGGCTTAAAGTTTTTATACAATTGCTGCTATTAACAGAAGCTTAAAAACCCACATCGAGTTAAATTTTCTCAGGCTACCTTGGGAAGGTAAAACAGTCTGATACCCATGATTGACTTCTCAGTCCATTGACAACTGCATATCAAAAAAAAAAAAAAAAAGGACAAAAAAAAGAAGAAAAAAAAAGAAGAAAAAAAAGGGAAAAAACCAACATTTTGCTTTGGAGCTGGGGTGCCCGGGGGGATGCTCCCCGGGGGCGGGGGGGACCCACTGCCCCAGCATGCTGATAGAGGGGGAAAAAAAAGAAGTAAATCGAGCGCACGTCCCGGTTCACAGCCCTACCCATCGCTAGTGTCTTTACCTGACTGTGGGGTCCCATCATGCTGTTAGGATTGTGGGGTGGAGGCTGTGCGTGTGGCGAGGGCTGTGACCCAGGCGGTCCCTGTGAGGTCAGACAGTAGAAGGAGGTTATAGATTAGCACATGAAAGCGCAGAAAAGAGCTAAAAAAAGGATTCACGGGTGGACCTGTTTAGCTGGGGAGTCAGTTCTCCCGGTTTTAAGTTATGGTTTTTTTCTCTTTTTTAATCGAGTTTCTATTCATTTGTAGCTGAACAATGAGTAATGATATATGCCAAAAAAATATAGTTTCAAAATCAGAACATCTGTCAAAATACAAGTGGCCACATTGAGGGTAAACGGTCCAGTGGTTCAACCAAGTCTGCAATGATAAACACACAGGGAAACATTTCGCAGGGGCGTGCAACGAGGCAAAAAAAAAAGCAGGAGAGGACCAGGAGAGGTTGGGGGAAATAGAAAAAACACCCCCAAACCAAAAAAAAAAAAAAAAAAAAAAAAAGAAAAAAAAATAATTTTTTCCTCTCATCTCAAAGGCTGGCAACACCTCCGGGTTTGTGTTTTGAGCGTGGTTCACTGGAGGTGCTGCAGGACGAGGAGCACGTCCCAGCTCGCGCCTGGGCAGTGCTTGGCTGGCACACCCGGGGCTGCACCGCCAGGCTGAAGGGATGCAACATCCTTCCTCGAGGTGGATTCCCTAAGGATGCGAGTAAAATGCCTTGTGAGCAAAGAAAGGATGTCTAGGGGAAAAAAGAAGAGATTAGTTGGTGCAGGTTTAAGGCTGCAATGCAGCAGCTGCTGACATTTTGGGCTCGAACGCCCACTTTATTTTTTAGAAGTTTCCCTTAAAAGCACAAAATGAAGATTTGCTTGGGAAAACCACGAGCTCAGTGCAAGAATATACCGGTGCGTGTTAACGTAAGGACAGGGCGAAAAAAAGGTTCTTTTGAGTCAAAGGAGGTGTAACTGGTAGAGGAAGCAAAGCAGCTCTGTCAGTAGGTGATGGGAAGCGACGGCAGAGGCTCCAGGACCGGCGCCGGAGCAGATGTTCTCTACCTGCCTCGTTACTAATTTCAACAAGTGTTCGCCTTCTAGCTGCTGCCAGCAATGGCATGGTTTGTTACCATGAGCAATTTTCTTAATTAACAGACATTAATTAGCCATTTAGCAATTTTGCAAGCATTTGTTTAGCAGCTTTCCTAAACATGAATACCACTGTGATAATGGTACTGATTAGAGGGTCCCCTAATTAACAGTACAGGGAAGGAAAATTGAAATCACATAAATTAAAAAGGGAGGGGAAGTTAATGAAGGCAGGACATATTTGCACCTGCAAATCTTTTGTACGGCGGAAACTTGAGTGCAATGTAAATAAAGTAAGAGGGTGGGTTTTTTTCTTCTTTTTTTTTTTTTTTTTAAATTTCTTTTTTTATTTTTTTTTTTGAGCCAAGCGGATTTAAACCAACAGCCTCCTGCCAGCCTCTCCATTCCAGCCGCTGAAATCCCACCACTTACACCACCATTTTTCTCCAGGAGCTGAAAGGAACCAGCCCCTGCTTCTACTGCCCGGCAAACCTCATCTGGACGAGGTCACAGCACCTCAGGACAACCCTCCCGTTGCCTTCTCCATCCACGTCCCTCCAGAGCAAAGAAGACAAACCTCTGTGGACCCACTGTAGCATCAACCTCCTTTAGCAGAAGTTCTCTCCAAGCATGAAAGCTGACTTAGTTTTGCTTCTGAGGTGGCTAACTCTGTGTGAATGCAAACTGCTGCAGGGGCAGTAGCCACCTCCTACCACCAGTCCACGGAGGGTGACATCCCTCAATGAGGTCTGGCCCCCCCAAAGCCCTTCCTACACGTCTCAGCTGCAGGATTTAGGGTAAAGATCAGCAGGGGTGACTGAGTGATTAAACCAAGAGGAAGGGAAAAACCAGGGCTGGAAGAGGCCAGCTCTCAAGGCCCATCGATGCAAGAGTCAACGTCCTCCATGACACCTGCCTTGCTCTGCTGCAAGGAGTCATTGCTGTCCAGGTACTGACTGCACAGGCACACACACCCCATCCTCAAGTTATTAAATCCCTGATGTCCTTCCTCCTGTATGCCCCAGCATATGAGGGCATGGGGTGAGCAGGTACTGAATGTGTGGGGGACACAGCCAGCTACACACACCATGGCTGGGCCTGGAGGTGATGCTTCGGTTCTGCATTTTGAGCTTCGAAGCAAGCAGCATTTGGTTATTGGAGAAAAAGCATCTCTAAGACATGGCAGTGTTTTCACCAGAGAAAAATCCCTGTGGCAATTGGATCCAGAGAGCATCAGTTGTTTGTGCTGCTGATTGCATCCTCTGGAACGTGGTCCTGCCCCGCCGCCAGGGCTGCTCCCCGGGATGCTCCCGGCTCGGCGCCGCAGCATCCTCGTCCTTGCATTATCCCATGTGGTACCATTCCCAGTGGAGACTTCTGGATAAGGTGACTGCAGACACTCAGCTTATGCAAATGTTTTGGCGGGCAGAGAGGAGCTGAAAGCAGCTTGTTTCTTTCTCCTCCTTTTCTGGCTTTTCCCAAACAGAAACAAGCAGCAGCAACCCAAACGCTCGCTCCGGGCTGCAACCACCACGGCCCCCTCGGCACGGCTGCTCTGCTCCGCTAGAAACACAGACCCTCTGGATATTGTTATCTCCATAAATACTTGCAGATGTTTCAGGGCTGGGACCCGTGCTCGGCCGGGAACGCCTGCCGGAGCGGTTGCTTTTTCGCACGGGATTGCCTCACTGCAGAGGAAGCAGCAGATGATCCCGATGGATCATGGCAGTGGAGACAAGTGTTTTGCAGAGACGACATGTGGGCTCCAAACGACAGAACAACCCCTTTTTTCTTAAAAAAATGTGTACTTATCAGTTATTAACTACTGCTGTTAGAAAAGGAGGCTGAACACATGCTGTACTGCTTCCTCCACATCCCAAATGCTTTGGAGTCACATCCCTGCGGCAGAGCTCCATTTGACACGCCATGCTGGGTGAGCAGCTCCTGCTCTACTTCACTCTTATCTCCAGACCAATGCTCTTCCCAACCAGAGAAACTCCATCATCTCTCAACTTCTCCTTTTTCCCCCCCTTGAAACTGGACACCTTGCCAGGGGGTTATTCTTCACCTTCCTGTAGCTGCCTCAAAAAAAATGAACAACCAACCCCAAACAGCTAAAACAGCATTGGAGGAAACTGTTTTCAACAGCTGTTGGTACCTCAACCTCCCCTCTGCTTCATTTTTATCTCCCCTGTGCACTCCAGGGACTTTGGACGGCTGAAGTTTGCTGCCGCAGCTGCTTCCTACAGGGAGTTTCCAGGCGATCAGGTTATTTCCACTCTGTCTTTCATGAGCTCAACTCCTCAAACTTCTTGTAAAATATTAAAGATGGAAAATGGCACGAGCTATCATAGCTCTGCGTGTGTCAATTTATGTTTCCAGCGTAATTCACCACAAATGGATCATGTTTTATGGGCTACATACTTTCAGCTAATGGGGGAGTTTTGCTATTTAAAAACATTTTCAAGCACCTCTGGGGGTGGCAGAACAAGGCAGGATGGTACGAGAAGGCAAAGCATCACTGCCACGAGACACCGATGGTTTCGAGTTAGCAAGAGGGAGGCATCTTGTGTTTGAAATACCTGCCCCTGCCTGCCAGTTTTCACATTAGAATATACTAATATAAATTAGATGGGTGTTAATTAAAGCCGTGCCTGGGTTTATTGGAGAGGAACTTTACTTCTACCGAAGGAGAGAGATATTTTGCAAGTTGTCAAGAAAAATATAAGACATCTCAGAAGGAGCCTTTAGGAGAGATGGTCCAGGTGCCTTCAAAGAAGACCACGGTCGCCTTCCAGCATGTGGTGCTGGGTGAGGACCTTCCCCAGAGAGGGCAAGGCGAAGCAAGGCGAGGTGAGACGAGGCAAGGCAAGGCAAGGCAAAGCAAAGCAAGGCAAGGCAAGACGAGGTGAGACAAGGCAAGGCAAGGCAAGGCAAAGCAAAGCAAGTCAAGGCAAAGCAAGGCAAGGCAAAGGCAAAGAGAGGCGGGCCAAGTCCCCCCGCAGACAGCGAAAGGCAGCCGTGGGCAGGAGCTCTGCCTTGCCTGCAGCTGGGGCTCCCAACTGCAGAAGCCTGGTTTTAAGGAATATGTTTAACACAAGCTCTTCAGGAAACAAACCCATGTCAGCCGGAGCCAAGAACAGTCACCTCCATCTGGCTGGAGCACCCGAGAGAAAGTTGACTGCAAATCCCACCATATGCTCCAGACGTTCGGTACAAAAGCCTCGGGCATCCTACTAAACTTCCAGAAAAAAACTTTCTCTGATGCTTGTTTTTTCCCTTCCTCCAGCTTGGAAGCCACCTTCCTTCAAACCCTGCCTGGTGCAGGCTGATACCTAGTTCTGCCTCGGGATTTTGGGAAAGGCAGCCCGGTTTGGTGGCTCTCATGCTGCATCGCCGGAGCTGGCTGACCATCGCTAGTGGCACCCGTGGAGAAGTGGCAAATCCCACAGAGGCACCGGGGCAGCTGGGCAGGGGGAAAATGGTGGCATCCAAGGAGGGAGCAGGACAACATGGACCCTTCCTATTGTCCCTGGCTTTACCATCCTCAACCCCGTGGGCGACCTCACCCAAAGAGACACACTGCAGGACGCAAGGAGAAGAGGCAGGGAGGGCAAGGGATGTAGGGGGGGAGCCCCCCGGGCTCTGGAGCCCCCTGTCCTCCCCAGCTCCCGAGGTCTCTCTGCATTAGGGGGCAGTGTGGGTGCTTTGTTTTGGTGCATCTCGGCGCCGAGCCGCTGATGCATAGCTAACGCAGCCGCCGACATTGATTTATGGTCAACTTTCCATTTCATCAGCGCGCGGGGTACGGGGCGGTGCGGGGACTTTGCGCTGGGGAGAGGAGGCATGGTTGGGAGGGACTGCTGACTGAGCCCTCCCCATTTATTTAGTGTTCTAAAGGTGTGGTATTCACTGCTTTCAATTTTTAATTTTCCTTCCTACATTTCCCTGGCACCCCCCTGTCCCTCCTTTGAGGGATCTGCACCCGGCATCAATCCAGCTTTCAAAACAAAAGCAGGAACGCCTCCGGTGACCTTTAGGAGGATGAGCAGAGGGTTTGTTTGCTCATCTCAACGGGACAAAGAGAGAGATTTAAATAAAAGCATCTACCCACACCAGCCGTCAAGTCAACCCAGCCACCTTTTGTCCGGAGCACAGCCTGATGCTGTGCTGCTGGCTGGCACCACGAAATGCCCCAGCAGCCCAAGGGTGCCATGGGCCTTTCCTTTCCCATCATTTCAGGAAGGTTTTGGGAGACTCTGCAGGCTGCACTTCCCTTGGCCCCCAGCCCAAAGGTCACTGCTGAGCACCAGCACGGGGAGGGGACTCTCTCTGCAAGACAGTGGCTGTGAACGGGTGCTGCAGCCTGGAGTCCTCCTTGCTTCCTCCCTTCCTGTCACATTACTTCTCCTCTAAGCTCACTCCCATGGGTTTTCTGGGCTACTAAGTCCCAGGAATGGTCCATATAACTTTTTCCCTTTGCCAAATGGCAGTGGACATCCTAATGTGCTGGGCAGGGGAGGTTCATGCACCCCTAGGATGGCAGCATGAGGCTTCTGCAATGTGAGCTTTGCTGCTGACTCCTTCCTCAGCTCCCTGTGTGATGCCCTACCATGCTGGCAAGACAAGGTCCTTTAAACCCTCTCAAATATGGTCTGTCCATGCCCGCTACCCTCAGGGATATCCCTTCCAGGTCTCTGGTGCAGAACAGCAAGATGCCAAAACCCCCTGAGCCCTCTCCAGCAGTCTCCTGGCATAAGGACAGCTCTGACTGAGGTGTTACCACCAGGAACCTCACTCACTCCCAGGGCTGGCACACCACAAGGGTTGGGGAGAAGTCCTTTGCATCTTCTGTGACCTTTTTGTTTTTGCCCTCTGAAGTTCAGCACTTTAACCTCCTACAGATAGGAAACTACCCCCGAGCTGCAACCGGCTCGCCGCTGAGTCTCCAGCCCACCTTCACAAGAGCTGCTCTCCAGCA